ATGAATAGGTAGGTTACTATTACAATCTGTTAATAACAATAGAAATTCTTAAAGATGCTAATTACTACTTAAACGAGATAGTTACAAACTTAAACTTATTTAGATATATCTAAGAACTTAACAATTTTAAACAATATTCAATAAATGTGACTATTAGCAATTTAAATAAAGCTACAGGGAATTAGAAACTTAAAAATGTATTAATAAGGCAATGTTGAATATTTCTCTATTATTAGTGTAACTAGAAAATTAAAGATAGTTAACTAAATTACTTTAGACAAAAACATTTGTAATAATTTCTAAAGGCTTATATGTAAAACATGTAAAAACAGTCAATAATATAGTGTCTGTATAGTTTTGGTCCCAGCCCGGGTCTTTGCCCGGGCCACCGCCGCCTCTCTCACGGGAGTGGGGAGGCGGTGTTGTCACTGTTGAGGATCCCGGAGGAGCAGGAGTCGCTGTGGCCATGGCCCGGCACGCTTACGGTGGGGACCATGTCGCCGGTCATCGCCGCCGGGCCTCGGCTCGGCTCGGTCTGGCGCCGCGTTGTGCCGCATGTGCGGCTGTCCCGGGCCGCGCTGCTGCGGCCGCCTGGTTCGCTTCAGGGCACCGGCGGCACGGGCGGGTTGGTTCGTGCAGTGGGACGCGGCCGTGAGCTCTAGGCACGGTCCGGCCGCCAGCTTGGGCTGTTCGCGCTCCAGGTGCAGGCGGGCGGCGAAGGCCTCACAGCTCCGTATTGCTGACACGTGTTCGCCGAAGCCGCCGCGCCGCCTTCGGCACCCCGCGCCGCCCCAGCTGCATTTACAAACTTGTGCCACAGTCCCGGCGCAAGCCTGCTCGGCCGCCCGGGATGGCCGCGGGGCCGCCCCGCGGCTTCTCCTCAGGCACGGCGGCCGCCCTCCCAGCCGGGGTTCCACACGGAGTTTCGCCGAGAGCTCTACGCGGGTCGGGGGCGCGGCGGGAGTCGCCGCCAGCTGCGGCGGGGCTTCCGCGCTCGGGTCACCGCCGTCCGTTCGGCCGCGCCTCGGCCGGGTTTGGCCCGCTTGCGGCCTCCGGACAGAGGCGCCCCGCGGCGGCGCCGCTCCAGCTGTCCGGCCCTCTGCACGCTGTGCGCCGGGCCCGCCGCTCCCGGTGGTGCCGCCGCCGCTGCCATCTGGGTTTGCGCAGGAACCGCCGCCGCAGCCTGGTCGACACCAGCCGGCACCGCGAGAGGAAGTCGCCGTCGCTGCCGAGCCCCGGCCTGGAGCCGCCCGGCTCGGGGGGGCCGGAGTCGCCGCCCGCCGCCAGCAGTCCTGCGGAGCCGTGCGCAGCTCCGTCTCTGGCCTGACTCGCTGCGGCTGCCGAGCGTCCCGACAGCCCCGCGCTCTGTGCCCGCCGCCGGCCTCGCCGCTCGCAATGTCGAGCGGCTGTCACGTATCTTTTTTAAACATCGCGCCGCTGTTGCTGGTAGGCACAGCAGCTGTTGCTTAGCTACCGGCTCCCAGCACGGCCCATGTTCCATGTGTGCCTCCAGCAGAGGCAGTCCACAACATGGCCACGAAACAGGAAGAGAAGGCATTACCTCCTGCTCCCGGCATGGGCAAGATGGCGCCGCCCATGCCCCGGCGTGGTCTCCACGTGTCTGCAAGTTTGCCATGGCTTGGGGATTCAAAGTTAGTTCCCTTTTACCAGTCATACAATCCACGACACGCGCCTTCTTCCCGGAACTCACGCATCCGCGAAAATTCAGTACAAAAAGGTATATTCTAAGGCTTTTCTTCCGTGCTCTCGGACCCCCTCCCCCTTTCCAGACTGCAGTAGCACGTGGAGTTCTATGCTTTACAATGTTTGGGGGAGGGGAAGATCCAAAGTTTCTCTCTGTGGACGAGTTCTCTTTTTTACTTCTGTTTTTTCCCTGCTTCTCCACCCCTCTTTCCAAGCAATTTCACTAAGAATTGTAAATATCAGCAGTCCTAAAACAGTTATTTTCATTAATTTTAAAAGTTCAGCTATTTTATGTTTGTTAACTTGTCTCCAAAGTCTTTTCAATATTAAGCTTAAGGCTTTTGCAATATTCTGCAGTTCACGTGAATTAAAAGTTCTCATTTTTTCTCTTTTTCTTTTTTCTCCCGCCCTCTCACCTGGGACGTAGATTTTTCTTCTCGAGAGCGTCCTCTCAAAACGTAGGCAATTTCCTACCGAATTCAGGCCTTTTTTCGAGCTCAATCGCGGTTTCTCCCGCCTTCGCCCATCAGAGTTTCCTTTCCTCTGGTACCTGGCGTTTCTTTCTTTTTCACGGCGGACGTCCCTCAGCGTTAAATATAGGCTGGTACCTGACGTCTGGTCCGTATTTCTTCCTGATTCAGGATAAGGCTTAGGTCCCTGTTCGGGCGCCATATGTAGCAGTTATTAATATAATAAATAATAAGTCCCATGGGGACCATAGCGACACCAACGTGGTGTGTAACAAGAGAGCGTTTATTCCAGGAGTCCCAGCTTATATAGCAGTTTCAAATGCTGCCACGTCACACAGGTAATTTCTTAAGCCAATCCCATACAAGCATTCAACAGAGCATGTGTGACAGAGTACTTAGAACTACAACCCCCAGGATGCTTTGCAGCACCTGGTGTTACCAGACCCCATAAAAAACATCGGTCGTCATGCATGAACCAAAGAGCATTACAGTGAAGAGTTGTACCAACATATGTGATATTTAATTACAATCACAGGCTCAGAGAAATTGGCAAGAGGCAAAGAGGAGGAAGGTAAATACCCTGAGATTTCATTATATTTCTTTGCTGAAACATTTTTCTCCCCACTCAGGCTTTCATTTTGAAAGCAACATATCAGAGATAGTGACTCAGTCTGGCTTATACAAGGAACATTCAGATAATTGAGGAGGCTTTTAAAACACCAAACTGCAACAGATGTACAAAAGCTGCCAAATGACACAGGCATGTATAAATCAGAGGACTTATGCTGAGGGTTGGCTACTGCAAAGCAAACACTTGCCCCAGGCATATGTGTCACTTGAAGTCAGACATCACACTTTCTCACTGGCATAAGGCAGGTCTCAAAACTGGTCTTGATGGTTTTGAGACATGGACAAGACTATGTTTTTGAGCATATACGTAAGTCAGAAAACAGCAAATACACTTTGAAGCACAAAGGCAAATTCAGTCTTTCTACCACTCTTTGATTCACTTTTCAACTCCCACACTGTATGACATCAGTTCCAGCCTTCTCAGTATTGCAAGCATAATTTCGTTCATAAGCTCCTCATGCTACACACTAGAATGAGATAAAATTATTTTTTACTATTATTCTGACTAGAAAGATGCTCCAAAAACTCACTGCCCCAGCTGTTAAAAGTCTCCTAAATTTCCATCCTCTTAGCAACGTAAGTCTTTGTCTTAATAGCTCTTTCACCCTGTTCCTGATAAATTTGCAGACTGTAAGTCTTCATTCTCCCTAATTATCTCTGCAGTTCATGCCTGAAGCTAGCTGGACTTCTTTTGAACACTGAGATCCAACACTGAATCTGATGATTTCAGAAAGTGTTTTATACACACCCAAGCTGAACTGGATATACTAGGGTTGGCACATGCTAGGATAACTTTCAGGTTTTTCATAGAGAAGGTGGCTGCAAACCACACTGGAGTTATGCCCTAACAGGACACACATGCCCTAACAGGACACTTGCAAGCTCAAGCAGAAATTTTTGGTTTATTGTGCTTCCTTGCATTCCACCATGGATGGCTGATCATCAAGAACGGTTTTATCATCAGAAAGTGCCATTGTCATGTTTCTGTTTTTCAGGTCAAGATCACTCATGAAAATATTAAGCCAACCAGTGCTGTGACAAAGGACATCCCTGAGGATGTTTCACAACCAATATTATTCCTTTCGCTATCTCTAAGACCATGACATAGAGCAGTCCTGAATGGAGAACAGAACCAAGTTGGAGCAAAGTTCATTAATCCTGGACAATGTTTTCATAAAACAAGGGGATTTGGCACACACAGGAAAGGACACTGCCAACTAGGTTTTGCTTTCTCCTTCGAAACTATATTCACATAGGAGGGGGTATTCAGGGAAAGGTACCATAAAACAGCAAAATATATGCCATGCTCTGAGGTGGTAATCAAGTCCAACAAGGCACTAAATTACTGCTACAGAAAAGTTGATACAAGAGCTCAGAGAAATCCCCTTTAACACTGACAAATTAGTCTAGAAACACTTCTGGAAAGAGACCAAAGATTTGCTATTTGAAATTCTATACAAGGCAAGACTGGAAGCGTAGCTGGAAGGCAGAGAGGCAGAGAACACTCCAGCCAACATCTTTCCTCAAAATGCAAACATAGCAACTGATGTGCAGAGAAGCATTTGCTATGAGCCAAGGAGTGTTAGAGAGTATAGGTGAGCACGACATTCTGAATGCTCAGTTAAAACTGCTTTCAAAAGACAAGCTCATAAGGATTACACCAGCTCTAAGCTTAGAATCTTACATTACAGTGTAGAAACTTGCATCTAGAAGGTGAAAAAACCCTCCTGTTTCAAATGTCTCACAGCTTTGAATATAATCATACCAATTGCTTAATGGCTTTTCTGCATAATTACTGAAAAAAACTATGAGAGTCTGTTCTCACAGCAAAGTTCTTACCTGTGACAAGAGTTTAATGGGAACATGAGTGGTTACAAATGAAAATACTTTTAATGAGGTTCATATAGTTTCTAATAAAGCATTTATGCAAGAAGCTAGAATTGACTAAATTTGGCAACATTATTTATCCATTACCAGTTACAAGCCCAGTCCACAATTTTATACAAGGAAACATGTAATAAACCCGGCAGTGCCTTTTGCTCTGGTAACTACAAAAATACAGCTTCAAGATGGAACTTCAATTCAGGTTTTACTGAGGACTGTTTTATTTTCATAAAGTTACTGGATGTATTTTTTGGAAACACATGAATTATAACTTTTGAGTATGATTTATGTATCTAAAAGTGACCAACTCACTTGGAATTATTATGGTGAATGTTGCAAGCCCGAGCCATTAGCACCACAATCATCGGTCGAAAGGCCTTTCCTTTCCCATCAAAGTAATAATCACACATTTCCTTAAGTTCTGATGCAGAGACAAGTAATTCCTACATAAAGGACAAGAACGTTTCAGCACAGAAGTCCAAAGTCCATCTCTTTAGTGTAAGTAAAACAATACGCGTTTGTAAGGTTATTGCCTGCATTCATCCCACCCAGTGTAAGCTGAAGTTGTTTTTAAAATTACTATGAGCAATCTGAAACATAAATATATTTCATCACTGCAAATCAGGAGAAAAAAAATTGCATTCTGGTTCTATAAAGTATGAGAACTGATCCTTTTGCCTTCAGTTTCAGCTTCAGATAGTTGTCCGTAAACATAAATAATATTCTTTCAATAAATGTCCTCCAAGTTCATGGCTGCTATTAAAAACAACCATTGTAACATCCCAGAATAGTCACCAAAGTCCCTTACCTTTTTAATATCTTCATAGAGATTCTTCAAGTCTTTTCTACCAAGTTGAAAAGGGTCTTGGTATTTTTCATCACTAACTGTCTTACTGCAGCTGCACAAGTGGGATATACTTGTATGATGAAACCTGGTGACAGTGTTTTTTAAGACAGTTGTTAAAAGCAAACTTTCCTCGATTCCCCAAACAGAAACATTTGAAAGCATTTCCTCCTCCTCTTTCCTCACACAAGATGTAACCAAATGGCTAAAATATATGAAGGCATCAAAACACTCTTTTCAGACACTTAGTAAGGTGTAAGGACAGCACAGCTATATACTGGTGATCATAAACCTTTAGGAGCTGGCAAATCACATTTGGTAAACAAGAACAAACACCACCCCCCCCCCATTCTTAACAGATGACAGAAGTCTCCTGAGACACACAAAACCACACTGCTCTCAATGTACTCCTTTTGATTACACTATAGATAGTATAGCCTATGTTTGGAGATAAAGCCTTCATCTTCCCGTAATACAAGTATTCTATTAATCTCTTACCCTTCTTGTAAACTCCTGGAAAAATATTCCTGAATTGGATTTGAAATTTTCTCATTTGCACACCCAGCTACATTCTAAATTAAATCAATACTTCCAGGTACCATGATGATGCTATGAAAGTTCATCAGGAAAGGGGGGAAGCTCCACCTGTATGCATCAAGCATAGGCCTGATTTACTTTTTTTGTTTCCTGGAGTATGGAGTTTATGTTTCTTATTAGATTTCCTTTTCCAAAGTGAACTATATGTATTTTCTTGCAGCATTCCTGCTTTGCCTGCTACTCTCAAGGATAGAGGACTTGGATTCACACTCAGCACCACAGCAGCAGTCTACACAGAATTATCCAACTATGTATTAGAGTGAGCAAAGTTTATAGCTCACAGGTGTAACTACTCAGTTCACCCAACAACTGTGTCTTTACCTGTTACACAACAATATGACTCTCCAACTTACCGCCAAAATACATTACATATTTTTGGAAACGACAAAGCTGAACTTCTTTGGGTAAAGTGACACATCTGTACAAAATAAAACCAGGGTTAATTTATTAGAGCTTTAAACTGACAGAAAACATTCACTTCCAAAAACATGTATCTGTTCATCAGCACCACTCTATTTCTCCATTTTAACAACACAGCACCAAAGGGAGTCTCATAATCTCCTTCCATATCATGTGAGACATGAGTGATAGCGAGAGAATGTGCCAGTAGGCACATTAAACTGACTCTTCTGCTCAGAAGTGTTGGACTTTCTCCCCTTGCAGGACCAATCCACGAGCCTTATCAGTTAAATTACCAAAACTGCTCTAACGAAAGCTTGCTTTTGCACTCGTGCAAGGTATAATTTTCAAACGTTCCCTGTCTTGTAAATAAATCTGGACTGCACCAGACAAGGAACAGAGAAAAGGGCAAGAGCTATTTCAGTAAACCAGTACACTAACAGAAGAAGAACTTGTCCTTGTTTTCCCCTAAAGCAATTTCAATTCAGCTTGTTGCTTATGATAATTTACACCTGCCTATTTCCCTGCTAGATGTCCAGAAACTAACTTCCACACTTAGCAATATCTCCAATGATCTCTGCTTGCAGACATAGCCCAGGAGCCTGAGGGAAGGCACAGTCCCAGGTACTGACTCAGGGGCCCTGCTGGCCTGAGCCAGCCTGAAATCACTGCAATCCACGTGTTCACCAAACTGCCTCCGGAAAAGCCTGCAAAAGGAATGCTCAAGAAGTCCTAGAACTAGAGAACCTGCTTCTCATGCCTCAGTGTCCCCTCGTATGCAGATTTAAGTCTCTCCTTGGACACAGGCAGCGAAACAAAAGCGCTGTAAGGGCTCAAGGACACCCTTTCATCCTCATTACGTATGAAAAAAGGCCATGCAAGGACACAAGGGAAGGACAGGAACCCTAACTTATCGCTCTGCAACTCATTGCTGTGACTTCAGTGTCCAGCGCTACAGCTGAGACCTCTGTAAGTTGCTCTCTCGTACATCTGACCGTGTTCTGTTGTTAAAAAATAGCTGATCTCTTGCTAATCTTCCTTCGATGAGGGCACACACACAGACTCCCTCCATTGCACTGCTGCTTAACCCTGTAAGACTGGCTCATGGAAGATGCTGCACACATCAGACAGAGCCCTTTCCCGCGGGTCAGAACAGCCGCCTGGCCTTGCGAAGAAGCTGTAAACGCACGCAGTGAAAGAACTGCTCCCATTACGACTCACACACAAACGCGTTCAAAATCTCACATTAATGAGAACTGCTTTCCCTGCTCCCATCTAGATAAGGCTCTGCGAGGTTCACCACACTCACCAGTGCTGCCTCGATAACCCTTAACCCACGGCTTAACCTTGCACCGAGCGCGCTCCTGCCCCCTGCAAGAACCCCCGGCCGGGAATCGCCTCCGGGCCTTCGCCCTTGCCGGGCGGGAGGCTGCGGGGCGGCGAAGGAGCGGCGGCCGCGGGGTGACCGCCCGGCCCCGCGCCCCGCCCGGGCCCCCCGCCCCATTCATTCCGTGACCTCCCTGCGCCCGCCGCACTCACCGCGCTGGGGGCCGGCGGGGCGCGGGGGCCGGGGCGCGGCACGGAGCCGAGCGGCGGCGCCCGGCGGGACGAGGCGCCGCACCGCCACCACCACCACCACCACCGCAAGGCCATGGTGTCCCCCAGCCCCGCCGCGCCGGCACCGCCTCTCGGCACCGCCGCGACCCGGACGCGGAAGCCCCGCGCCGCCACCGCCCTCCGGCGGGGCACCGGCAGAGCAGTGGGGCGGGCGGGGAGGGCAGCGGGCACCGCCACCGCCCTCCGCGGGGCGCCGACGGCGACGCCCGGGCAGCGGGCACCGCCTGCGCCTCCCGCCGCCCTCTCTTTGAGGGAGGGAGACCTCAGACCTGAGGCCCAGTGTTTTTGGGGACTCGCTGAAGGTTTGGGGACATGTGGTGGCCCCTGGGGCTGGCCGCATGCCTGGCGTGGGGCGGCCTGGCCGCGCTGTGCGGCTCCCGCGGGCTCTGCCCGGCCCCGAACGCCTCCCGGCCCGAGCCGGGGCAGTGCCCGCGGCGCCGGGGGGCGGCGGAGCTCTGTGCCTGGACCCTGTCCTCCGACAGCCTCCTAGGTACGGCCTGCCCTCCGACAGCCTCCTAGGTACGGCCTGGCCTGCCCTGCCCTGCCCCGGGGCTGTGCACGCCTGCCCTGCCCTGCGGCTCTTGCTTGATGGGTTGTTGTGGCAGCTACTAAAGCAGAAATTAAGTGAAGACCTGATATATACACAGATACTACTCTTAAAATTAAAACCAGACTGGCGGTAAGGAGGTTTTTTTGGTTGGTTGGTTGGGTTTTTTTCCCAGTTAATGCAAAATTGATAACCTGACACCTGACTGGCAGTACACCAAGCATTGTAGCTCCCAGGCACGCATAATTGCCTGTAATCGTTATGGTAATTTATATGTTAACGTTACAGAACTCATTTCATCAGGTGACACAATTCCTTGTGAACATTAAGAGATAATAGTGATAAATCTTGTGTAAGCTGGCTATAACAGGATTTACAGTAGAGGTGTTGAGAAACATTGCTAACAGTAAGGGTCCAGAGATGCTAACTCAAAATTTTCACAAAACAATAGCTATAAAGTATTAGGATTATATAATTAATGCAGAATTGTAAGATTGTTGCAAGCAAAAATCCATGAAGATGGTAAACCACACAGTATTAGTTAAGTGTTTTAAAACAATATTTGTCCTCTGTTACCATGGATCGGGGCACAGAACATGTCCAAAGAAAAATGAAGCACATGTTCTGAGTACATATGTTCTGCTACAGCGAGAACTACATCTTCGGAGCCTTTCATTCACTGTTTACATTGCTCAGAAAAGACTTCATCGGGTTTCTCAGGTTACGTGGTGATCACTGCTGTATATGGACTATAGACAGCAGTTACTGGTGCAGTTAAATCTGTTCCGCTACATTGGGCAGCACTGAACTATATTTAGTTGTGGGAATAGCTAAACTCTGTCTCATGTAAATATCTTTTAGGGTTGTATATAATGCAGTGCAATATGAAACTGCTTAGATATGGTTTAGATCTTAAAAATAGCATGCCTTGCTAGATTCTTTTAACTGCAGAATTCAGTCCTACTTTTCAAAAATTACAAACAGAATAAAAACCTAAATTTATTTGGGCTTGCTTTTCATGCAGGCTTAATGTAGATTGTGGCAAATACTTCAGTTTTAGTTGTTTCTGAAGTATTTTGATTTGATTTAGGATGAAAGGTATTAGAAACATATGATTAATTTTTTTAAAAGACATTTTTTCTCTCTTTCATGTTTACAGATCCTTTTCCAGTTGATGTAATCCAGGAAAATTATGTCCGTAATGTGAGAAACTGCATTTTTTCAATTGTCTATCCTACACCTTTTAAATCTAGAGTTCGTCTTGTAGCTGTTTCAAAGGTTGGCTGTTGTTTTTTGTTCCTCTCTAATTAGTAGAGATTCTTAATACATGTATACTAAAGTATATTTTAAAGTATATTTTAATATTCATATGCTATTTATTGTAAAAGCATCTCATCACTATATACTTTAAACATATTTAAAACATTGTTAAACATATATAAAACATGTTGTGAACTGTCTTTTAGTAACAAAATCTGTAGAGAAAACATATTCATTACCACTGAAGATTCAATCATGTTCAAGTACCATCTGTACTCTTTTTTCTCCAGGAAGTTCTTGAAAATATTTTGGATCTTGATATATCTGTCAAAGGAACATCTGATTTTCTTGAGTTCGTCAGTGGTGGGAAAGTGATATTTGGATCTGTTCCTTTGGCTCATAGATATGGGGGTCACCAGGTAACTGTGGCACTCACTTCTTCCAAGTTGAATTACGTAGAATTTTCATATGAGTTATACCTTGATAATACCTGTAAGTACATGAACACTTAGTAACATTTTGATTGCGGATTTGAATTTCATAAGGGGCTGCAGGTGTAAGAAAACTGTAATATTCTTTCTCAGTACCATGTTTACTTCCTCTGCTTCTGTTTATGCCTGAAGCAAATTATCTTTTTAACTTCCATTAGCTGCCGACTCTGCTTAGCACCCCTGCAGCCTGGCCAGCTCTGATTTGTGACAGGTATTATCAACTCAGAGGAGTGAAGAAGGGCAGAGCCTCACTGCAATACCATGATTACTAAGAGTTAAGTTTTATTGCAAGTGGTATGATTATTAATGGAGAAGAATTGTAGAATTTGGTTTGTAATTTCCAGTGAAAAAAAACCAAAACAAGCTGTGTGAGTTTAAAGGCTCGTTATACAAAAGAGGCAGGTCTGTAGCTGTACATCATAGCTGGAAGGTTACTGCCATTATTCTTTTTCTGTGGTTTTCCGATTAATTATTGGTGTGAGTGTGGAAATACAGCTTTAGGGATCAACCTCTTAATGATTGCATGAGACAATGTGTCATTATATTGTGTAGAACACAGAGAACTTACATGTAATTCGTATCATTTCAAGTATAACTGCTATAAATGGTAGAAGAAAATAACTTGATTTTCTTTTTTGTCAGTTTGGTACCTGGGCAGGTCAGCTGGGGGATGGAAGAGCCCACTTGGTCGGAGTATATACAAACAGGTGTGACATTTTTTTAAATGACTGATTCAACTCTGTGTTCAGTTTAGTTGATTGATAGATAGCCTGAGGTGTACTGTTAAAAATGCTAATGGTACTTTTGCAGGCATGGTGAGAGGTGGGAACTGCAGTTGAAAGGGTCAGGAAAGACCCCATACTCCAGGTAAGTTACAGTTATTCTGTGTACACCAAAACTGAATGCTTTCTTTTTGAAATTTGCTTTGGTTTTATGACCTATTCCTTATTTCTCTGTTCTTCGTAGGAATGGAGATGGAAGAGCTGTGCTTCGCTCTTCTGTTAGAGAGTTTTTATGTAGTGAGGCCATGCACTATCTTGGAATTCCTACAAGCAGAGCTGCTAGGTATTTTTCTTTTCTTTTTCACAGTATCTTCATTTACAGGTAATTTTCTGACTGAGTTTGACTGAGCATCAATAATGCAGGGCAGTTAGTTCCCAAGACGATAAATCTTTTCATATGGGTGCAATCAGAACAGAATATACCCCTCCAGTTCCGTAGATTTTTGGATAAAACTTTCCAATAATAATAAGCTCCAGCAATTAATCACATCACTTTTGTCTTTGCTATGCTTTAAAATACTACTTCATTTGAAAACAATATTGTGTACTGTCTGTGTCTAGCAGTAAGCAGCTGTTGTTCACTGGTAAGACTGTCTTCACAGAATTACCTGTTTGAAATGTGGCTCGTCTTGTAAAGAAAGTAAAAAGTGGAACTTAGATTGAGTGATTATATCTGACACTAACCTGCCTCTCCACGGTTTATAATATTTCAGTTGAGTTTCTTCTCTTTAAAATACAAAATAAATGTTCTCTCACCACCGACTTGCAAAAGCAGCAGGGCTGGATTCCTGCCCTGTAAGCAGTAATAATACCTCTAATGTATGTGGATAATCAATGAGTCTATTAATACATTGAACATGGTTAATAAATGAGTCTTTTATTACACTAAAGTTAAACATTTGAATGAATTTTCCTAGAATCCAGCCAACTAGGAAAATGTTGAAAGTGGCTATTTTTGTACTGTTATGGTCAGTCAGTTGCACTTTTTAATATTGGTTGGAAAAATTGTCCGTCACATGAACATATGTTAATACTGGAGGTAGTACTGAATGTAGGCAATTGCTCTCAATTCTTTATTTATGCAAACACCCCTTGAGCAAAGAGGGAGATTTTGTAAAAAAAATTCCAAAACTAATTCTCTTCAAATCCAATGAGACTTAATACCTCACTCATTTGGATGATTTTCTCAGAATCAAGTAACGGATTATTTTCAGATTATCGTGTTTAAAATGTCAAGTTGATTTTGTGTTCTAAGTAGTCTCAGGTCTGTACTCCAACGTTTAAGGCTTCAAAGAAAGTAAATGTTCTGCAGAAGAGGCTTGTATTCAGCTGCCACATGTCCAGGTATCTGTATTTGCAAAGCATCTCCAAATCTCTCTAGCATTAGTTTTATCACATTTGCTCTGTTGAAGTGCAGTGCTTGTAAATGACATTTCTGGTGGTTTATTCACTGACTTCATCCTGAGACCCTTTGCTGTTGCTTGTTAATGCAGAACTTTAAATCTGTCTGAATATCAGCAGGAAAGCATCAGGCAGGTTATAGCCTCTCTTTGCTGTCATCTCAACAAATTGTTCAGCGCCAAACTAGTACGAAAGTCCTCTTTAACTGTGCACGATTTCTACCGAGCACACAGTGTGCTTTAGTTCTCTACTGGCAGATTGGTTAAATGCCTGGCTCTCTCAACTGCTGTACAAGATCTCCAGACTGTTTGCAAGACCTAATTTGGAAAAACCCCAGCTGACATCCATATTCTTCTCAATGGGGAGCTGTTGTACTGAGGCTGGTGGGACGGACTTACAGAGGTCTTGTCACATCTTGGCAGAAGTGGGAGGAAAAGCCTTATAGCTTATCCCAGAACACCCAGCAGGTTGGTTTGTTCTATTAATGTTAAGTACTGCATTCCCAATGGGGTGCTACAGTTTATGACTGTACTGCCAGACAAAGAACACTTCATACAGTACCATTTCAGTCACATACTG